CCCGCCCCTATACACGGCTCCTGGCTGGGGGCGTTATCTGATGCCTGCCCTGGTAATGAAAGCTTATCAGCAGGGCTCCCCGTCCTTATCAGAGGCGAGCCAGGCGCGCGGGGGTTGGGGGCGGCCGGGGGCGGCACCGTGGGCCCTGAGGGCGGCCCGGTCCACTGTGCGGGCCTGGCCCACCACTCTGCAAACGTAAACTATACTATTTCTGCAAACCGCCTGAAAACAGACTAGCGTTGTTGTTGTTCTTTTTCTCTGAATGCAACCCCATGTTGTTGTTCTTGTTGCTCATGGGTGTTCTCGATCTTCTTGTTATAGACGGCAGCCAAATGTATGTCTCTCCGTGCGCCTCTTGTCCGTCTGTCTCGGCCTGGTGTCCGTCTGCCCTCCTCCTGCAAGTCATCCTGGCCATCATCGCTGCCAGGAGGTGCGCGACGTCCGACGCATGCTAATCGCCGTCCTCGGCCGCTCCCACGGGCCGCCCGGGCGGCGGGGCGGGGGGCGTCGGCGAGCGGCAGACAGGACGGCGACGAAGAGCACGGCGGCGGCAGCGCGACTGCCTCAAAGAGATAGGGAAGGGGATTGGCAGGGCATAAATACCCGAGTGAGTGAGTGAGTGAGTGAGTGAGTGAGTGAGTGAGTGAGTGAGTGAGTGAGTGAGTGAGTGAGTGAGTGAAGAAGTAAAAGACAGAAAGAGAGGCGGGAGAAAGAAACAGAAGTGAAAGAAAGAAAGAGAGGTGAAAGGAAGACCCTGGATGCCTGCCCGTGGCCGGCCGGCCCGAGCGCCTCGCGGTTAGGCAACCTAGACACACCGGTGTCCAGCGAACGGCGCGGCTGCCTAGCGGCCAGGCGTCAGGCCATCGCCGTGCGGGTAGGCAACCTCAACACACGCGTGCGCTGCGGGCACTCCGGATGCCTACCGCCTAGGCGTCGTCACGAACTTGACTCCGAGTCATCATATTTTTTATCTTCTTTTTCATCTTCTTTGTCTGACTGTCTGTCTGTCTGTCCGTCTGTCTGTCTCTTGTATCGGGCACACACACACCGGCTGCCAACACACACACACACACGCACGCAGGGCACGGCACACGGTGGCGCGGCGCGGCGGTCAGCGAACAATGAACCTGAGCAGAGCAGAGCTCTCTGGCATGCTATCCGGCCCCATGCCCCTCCAATCTCTGTCTGCGATCTCGGCACCAAAACGCGTCACCGTGGTGGCGTTCGATCAGTAACTGGCCGGGATCGTTATCTGTCCTCCGCGCGTCGGCCCGGCCGGGCTCGGGCCGGGCCCAGGGCAGGCGTGGCGTGGCGTGGCGTGGCGTAGCGTGGGCGACCGGGCGGCCCGGCCAGCCGGCCGGCACCATCCTCGCCGCGAGTCCTACTACCTCCTCTAGGTGGCCACAAAGAGACAGGTGTTGAGGAGCACACTTTCAGCAGCGAGCCCAAAGATGCTACAGCACCACGAGGTTATCGCACACAACAACGGACATGCATCGTGTGTTAGCTTATGATTTTCTTAATAAGTGCGAAAGAAACTAATCAGTATTTTACTCGGTATTTTAGCTTGAAAGAGGGAGAGGATTCGCATACTTGCGGCTGCCTTAACTCCCGTCGCGTCGAGCGACACGAGAGTAACAACAACAACAACAACATGCTTCGCTTCGCCTACACGTACGACCAGGTGGCCATGGAGGGCGAAGGCACGCCCGTGGCCAGGAGGAGACACAAGCAGGACTCGTCCACCTGTCACATGCACGCATCTCCCTCCGCCCCCTCCCCAAACTGTTGCTCGGGGCCTAACGACTGCTCACCCAGCTTGGTGGTCACGCTGGCGACCGGGCGTGCTGCGGCGTGGCGCCTCGTGGTGCTCGAGAGCGTGGTGGCCCTGGTCAGTGGCGCGCCAGGGGCGGCGGCGGCGGCGGCGGAGCTGCTGCTGCCGTTGGCGGCGGGGGGCGGCACCGGGGGCGGCGGCACATATCCAAAGAGAGCGGCGTGGCGGGGCGTGGCGGCGAGGGGCGTGGCGGGCGGCACGACAGTGACAGCGGGGCTTGCACCACAGATAGCACGGCGATCACCACACGGCGGCCCTGCGCGAGGCTACCGCGATAGGCCGCGCAAGGTAAACAACCACTCACTCACTCACTGCGCGCTCACTTGTCGCCGAAACGACGACGACCCCCGAGCACCCGGCGCAAACGAACGAGAAGCGTTCTTGCTTTTCCGCAAAGAAACAAGGACGTGCGGAAAGCCGCGACGCGCGGGCTGGGCTAGTAGTACGGGCGGACGGGCACCGTGTTGCAGTAGCGCGGGCGAACCGGGACGGGCCGCGGCGGGGGACGTCCGTGATGTGCTCGAGAAGAGGGGTGGAGCGGCACTGGCTGGCACTGGCCCGACCGGCTCGCCAGCGGCTCGGCTCGGCTCGGCTCGGCACCGCGCTCAGCTGGCGCGGCGGCCCCCACCACCGGCAGCGCCCACGCCACGCCCCGCCACGCCGCGCGCCCGGCTTTACCCTTGCTATCGCTCCTCTCACACACCCTTATCGCACTATGCGTGCCTAGCCAGGCAC